CTGTGTTGGGAATCTAGAGAAACTATAAACACTTCGCTTTCTAATTTGTAGGGAAAGTCATTCCTGAATGCTCGTAAGAGCGCAGATTTATTATATATGGCATCAAGTATTGGAATACCCGTTCATTCAGTAAATATTTGTTTAGTATTTAGTCTGTATTCTGGATATTATGCTCTCCTGGGTACAACGATCAACAAAGTAGGCATATGGAGTCTTTATACTCTAGTAGACATTCTAAAATGACATTCAGATTTTTGCCAGTGGGATACCGTGCCCCGTCCCCCACACCCAGGGTAAAAGCAGCATCAGTAGCCTTCTCATTCCTTATGTTTTGGCCTGGCAGCATATATATCCAGCTGCATCAGGATTACCTAAATCTGGTTATGTTCTTATATGTTTTCCCCCTAGTACTAATGTATCTGTTCCTTTCTATTAGAAAGATCCTTTTTTTTTTACTATTTTGTACCTTATCTAAATCTTATTTTATAATTTTGTATCATGTAAATAGAATAGAGGAGCCCTGGTAGCTCGGTGGTTAAGTGCTCGGCTGCTAACCAAAAGATTGGTGGTTCAGACCCACCAGCTGCTCTGTAGGAGAAAGATGTGACAGTCTGCTTCCATAAAGATTTACAGTCATGGAAACACTACGGAGCAGTTCTAGTCTGTCCTACAGGGTCACTACAAGTCAAAATCGACTCAACAGCAATGGGGAAATAGGATAGATGCTCCAGCAAGACTACGAAGAGGGAAGGTAGCATTTCGAAAATGGATTTCTCTGTATCTGTTACCATGCAGTTAAAATAGGCTCAGAGAGGAAAAAAAAAAATCATTATGGTTGTATTTAAGCTAAAAATGAAAGTGATTATGTATTCATTAGATTTTTGTTTGTTTTGTCTCTACTTGAGATCAACATTTCCTAAAGTGTATTTCATGACAATGTTAGTTTCATTGGGGAAAAAGCCAAAAAAAGAAGAAAAAAAAAAAAGGCAAAAACAAGAAAAGAGAATTTTATGCTCAGACATTTGGAAAGTTGTGGTTTTCTGCAAGACTTTTCAGGGCCTTAATATGGTGGTAGGTTGTTGAGGTAATTTATATGAGAAATCATAAAGGTCTGAAGTATGACAATTGGAGAGACGGCTGAGATAAGTGGGTATTTTGGGAGTTAATGAAGAATCGGAATCAGTACAACTTAGACATTAATTGATGTGAGGGTAAAGGCAAGGATAAGTGAAGAATAATTTCCAGGTTTCCTGTTTAAGAGCCTGGGTAGATAGTGGTACCATTAATGGAGAGAGATTATAGGAGGAGGCAGGGGAGCAGATTTGAGAGAACGATGATGAGTTTCATTTAGATAGGATCAAATTCACAACTTTGAGACATTTGAGTGGGTATGTCTGGGAGATAATTAGGTATGTCTGTATCTTGGGAAATGGATGTAAAGATTTCAGCATCTTCAGGGTGCTTGTGATGGTTAAAATCACAGGGATAAATATCATTCCAGTGGAGTATGTAACGTAAGCAAAGCCCAGGGATGACACCTTCAGAAACACCAGCTTCACTGTAGAAGTCAGCGGGAAGAGTGGTAATGGAAAGAATTTTTCTTTTAAGGTGTGGAAAGGAAGTTGCTTTTCCCCACTAAGTTGAATATATAGAGAGAAATCTCTAAAACTGTGGAGATTGCATCTTGCTTTAGTTTATTGATTTATTACTATGTACTTAGTCATGCCTATCGGTACTGTGAAACCTTGGTGGCACAGTAGTTAAGAGTTTGGCTGCTAACCAGAAGGTCGGCAGTTCGAATCCACTAGGCGCTCCTTGGAAACCCTGTGGGGCAGTTCTACTCTGTCCTGTAGGGTTGCTATGAGTCAGAATCTACTTGACGGCCATGGGGTTTTTTTGGTTTATCAGTACTATACATTGCTTAAGTCTGAAATATGCAGGGAGAATTCTCCAAACCTAATAGGGTTGGGGATGGTAGTGTTTTAGGGTTTTTGTATTGTTATTGGTATGGAATTTTATTCTAACTCATATTCTTAAGGAAATTGAGAAGAAAAATTTTCCTTTCTATAGAACAATTCCTGGGATACGAAAATAAGTATTGATGATGGAGGAAATGGTATTTTATTATGAAGTCAAATCATGTTAATTTCAGAAAAAATCTGGAAAATTCTGAATTGAAAGAAGACAGTTTCATGATTACTTGGATGGCAGAATCCTTGACTCAGACTAATTGATTTGAGCTCTTCAGCGGTGAATGGGAATGGGAATGAAAAATACTTGACTCAGATCAATGTTATGAAAATATCCTCCAAAATAATTTTTTGAGTTTCATGCCAAAAAAAAGACTGGAAAGTATTTCAAGATAACATTAATGATAAATTATGTTGGGGCAGCAAAAAATTGATATATTTCTGCTTTGAATTTCAACTATTTACCTTTGTTGTCTCCACATGGTCAGTTGTACCATCTCCCAGTTCATCAGAGCATAGTCTTTAAGCACTCAAGTGCTCCTGATATAATACCAGAAACACCTGGTCCTGGTTGGCAAATGCTGTTTAAACTAATCTAGAATTGCGCATACTGATGTAATCATCATTTTTTATAAGATTGTAATATGTAACATTGTTGTACATCTTCATCTTTGTAGTTATTGCCTTAGTTTCAGTAGAACTGTATTCAGCTGGGTTGGGCAAGTGGCATGAGCAGTTTGCTGGTTGATTACTGCACTGCAGTGTTTTTTAAAAACGTAATAGTCCTTAAGTATTTTTAGGAAGAATTGTATGTGAAAAATACTTGGAGATTATTCAGTGCATTGTATCTCTTTACAGAATAACTAATTTTGAGCTTTAATCAAATGTTTTAAAACCGAAGAAACAGATTCAAATCTATGTGTATATACCACCGCTGTTCAGAACCTTTCCTTTGAAACTATCATGTAACTGCAATTACTTGACTATGCATACTTTGCCTTTGTAGAGATGTCCTGTAGTTTTAAAGATATGCCTTTGTCTTTTAAAGTCTATATCGTACATTAAGAAACATGCAGCAGAGTGAATTCGTTTTGATAGACACTATCTTTTCAAAGCATTAGTAACTTAATGACATTTGGCGATTTATTTATAGATATGTATAGGAGTATAAATTCTTGCCGTCTGACATGGGTTTTTCTGGCTTTCTGTGCCATAATCATTCAGTGTTTGCTCTTGGTCACCTAAACTTTCACCAATTGAATTTGAGTTTTTCCCAGTTTGTGTTTTAACCAGTTTTTTTCTTTTCTTTTTTTCATATTTCTATCATTCTGGTGCAGGGCATTTCTGATCTGCAATTGTTCTGTAATATATCTTAGTAAAATGTGAATGATATTGAAAAAACAATACACTCATTTTACTTAAGGTGTAATTAAGCATTTTTAAATCAAAATCAGTTACCTAGAGTTTTGAAATTAAAAAAAAAAAAGTAAACCAACCTGCTATGTAAACTTATTCTTTACTTACCTTACACATGGAGTATGTGCAGTCTTTAAACATAAACTAATGTTCCAGAGTGTGAGTTTTAGGGAAAATGTTTTAACTTTGTTGCACAGAAATGTTTGCAGATCAGCATTGCTGACTACCAAAAAAGAAATAGTAACATACAATGTCATCAGATTTTTTAGTTGTGCTTCCACGTTGCTGCAGTTAAATTCTGCGCATCAAAATAAGTGGCCTTCATGTCACTAGATGTGATTCTGTTACATCTTATGTTTTTAATGAAAAATTGCAAACTGAGTGAATCCTGATTTTTCCGTATATTTTTAGAGCTTTATTCTGTCTGATAGCATCTCATTTAACATCTTTATTTTCTTTCTGTTTTTCAGTCAGGGAAAAATTACATCTTTAAGATGAAACCTTAAATTTTCTAGTTTTTATGCAGAGCTATTTAACTGCTATAATTATTTTCCAGTTGTGACAAAGGTTACTTAGTCTTTCCCGAGCTCTATTTCATTCACTAAGATGGCTTTTTTCCCCATGTCTAAGTTTGCTTTTTCTTCTGCACAGTTTAGGAATACATTTTAAGGAAAATACCCCAAGTGACACACATACAGTTAATTTGTGCTTATAATTAGACATTTTAAAGAGCTTATTCAGATGTTTCCCCAGTACTCATGTTTATGATAGGAGAAATGTTTGAATTTCATTAGTACATCTTAAAATGGAAAAATCTATTTCAGGAATTCTGAGAAACTTTGAAATTCTACTTAATTTTATTTAGTATCCTTATAAAACTACATTTTTAGAAATGTGCACAATCATTTGCTTTAAAATTATCTTAATTAAAAGTTAGAGAAACTTTCTACCTTTTGCCTTTAAGTGAAACCTAGAATAAAAGCCTTGGAAGTTTTTTTTAGCATATGTAAAATACATTATATAATTGTTTCTAGAAAAATGTATTCACATCCTATCATTTGTTAAATATTTAAACCATATTCCTTCAACATCTTAGTAAAGGGGTATATTCTCTATCGTTCCTGTATATTGATTTATAACATTCAGATAAAGCATTCTGAAACTACTTTTTTTAAACCCTAAGATATTTTAAAAGTATATTTACTTGATCTTCATCTATTTTTATATTTTCCCGCAAAATTGTTACTTGAAAACATCTCATTGCATTTTCTTACCGAGAGTGAGTGAAGTAGTACTGAGATACTAATATTTTGATTTACCTAAATGAAGTATGCCATAGAGTTTGTTTTTAAATAGCACTATTCCTTGTCAGACAGCTAGAACACTTGATCAGTAGTCCCCTGAATTCTATTAAAACTATGGAAAACATTCACCAGTTTGCTTGCAAATCAACTCTGCTGCATGCGTTCACAAGTTTCATAAAGATTGCATGCTTTCTGTTTTCAATACAAATTGTATTTTTTTTTCATACCCATCCTTGCTTTTTATTTTTTATTTTTGTTTCCCTTTTCTTGGTTGGATGCCTGTGTGTGTTTATTCCAAATCCCTGTCCAGTCCTGGAGTTTGAACTACGGAAAGCCAAGGAGACCATTCAGGCCCTCCGAGCAAACCTAACAAAGGCTGCAGGTGGTGTACATAAAACTTTTTTTGAGACTTTTTCTACTTTGACAATGTAGAAGTAGCTGAGATATTTTCAAATGTAAAATAGTAAAATATTATTTACAATTTCTTCCCCCAGAAAATGAAGTTCCTTTACAGGAACGAAAAAATTACAAATCAAGTCCTGAAATTCAGGTGAGTAAATGACAGATCCACAAGTATCTTCCACATAAAATGGTAGCACAAGTACTAAAGGAAGAAAACTTATGGTATTGTATCTGTCTTTTATTTTACCTCCAGGAGCCAATCAAACCTCTTGAAAAGAGAGCTCTAAACTTCCTAGTCAATGAATTTTTATTGAAGAATAATTACAAGCTTACATCTATAACCTTTTCAGATGAAAATGATGATCAGGTAAGTTACCTTGTTTTTTTTTTTTTTCATTTTTAACTTATAGTTTACTTACTTTGTTACCTAGTTTCTTCCTTTTTTTTTTTTTAAGGTTACACATATAGTAATATTCTACCAGATTAGTTACCAAAAACAACATTCCCTTGCCTACCTGTCTCTACTCTGCCATTTCCCAATCCCTAGGAGCCTCATTTTCATCTCTTTTAACTGATTAATTTGGTATTTACCTCCCTGACTTTAAATAAAATACTTATATTGCTACTTCCTGATTTTTAATGTGACACCTTATCTTTTGGCTTCTCACTAACGAAAGTGAGGCTGTAACTTTCTTTTTTGATTACTACTACCTCCTCACAGTCAACCCTCCCAAGTAGACTTATGTCTTAATTTTGGCTAGAGTAACAGTGTTTTCATTATTATGACTAAATATTTGCTAGTATCCACTCTTGTCTGTCAGTTTGTAATAAACTGTGGTGGCTTACATGTTGCTATGATGCTGGAAGTTATGCCACGGGTATTTCAGATACTAGCAGGGTGGACAGGTTTCAGCAGAGCTTCCGGACTAAGATAGACTAGAAAGAAAGGCCTGACGATCTACTTCCAAAAATTAGCCAGTGAAAACCCTATGAACCACAACAGAATATTATCTGATATAATGCTGGAAAATGAACCCCCTGGGTTGGAAGGCACTCAAAACACACAGTGGCCACAACAGTGGACTTGAGCATGCCAGCGATCGTGAAGATGGCACAGGGCTGGGCAATGTTTTGTTCTGTTATAGACAGGGTTGCCGTGAGTCAGAACCAACTCAAAGGCAAGTAACAATAACAACTTTTGTTAGTATACTATTTTCCTTTCCTGTAGAACCTTTTGTTTCCTCTGGCATTATTTCGTCTTTTCATTTGTTTTATTTTATATTCTATGTACTTGTCATTAATTCAACCCTAAACTCTGTTGCCAGGTCTACTGTCAGAAGTTTGTTTGCTGTTCTATCATTTTCCTCTTGGAAAATTTCTCCAAGAGCCCTGTGACCTTCAGTCTGGCCTGTTGTACTCTATGCCTGATGCAGTGCCTCATCCTAGGAACACTCTTCACCATAATCCTGGGACTTTCTTTCCCTGCTTTTTTCTTGGTTGGATTTTCTGGTCGCTATATCCCAAATCTCCCTCTTTCTTGCTTTTCTTGCTCAGTGGGTTTGAGAATGGATGCATAGAAGATAAACTTTTTGAAACCTTGCAGGTCTGAAAATATCTTATTACTGTCACATTTAAATTATGATTGTATAGCTGGGTATCAAATTCTAGGTTCCCTCAGAGCTGAAGACTTTATCCCCTTGTCTTCTAACTTCCTTCACACTTAAACAATGATAGTATAACTGAGTATTCAGTTCTAGGTTGGAAGTTGTTTTCCCTCAGAACTGAAGACATTATTCCATTGTTTTCTAGATACTGATTATGCTATGGAGAGATTCCTGATGCCATTCTGATTCCTGATCCTGTATCTATGACCATTTTTTTGTGTTTGTTTTTTCCATTTCTATCAGGGTTATGGTGGCTTTGTAGAATGAGTTTGGGAATATTCCATCCTTTTCTATGCTCTGAATACCTTTAGTAGCAGTGGTGTTAACTCTTGTCTGAAAGTTTGGTAGAATTCTCCAGTGAAACTGTCCAGGCCAAGGCTTTTTCTTGTTGGGAGTTTTTAAATTACCTTTTCAATCTCTTCTTTTCTTACAGGTTTGTTTAGTTGTTCTACCTCTGTTTGTGCTAGTTTCGATAGGTAGTGAGTTTCTAGAAATTTGTCCATTTCCTCTAGGTTTTCAAATTTGTTAGAGTACAATTTCATAGTATTCTGTTATATTTCTTTTAATTTCAGTTAGGTCTGTTGTGATATTACCCATCTCATTTCTTATACGGGTTATTTACTTCCTCTCCTGTTTTTCTTTTGTCGGTTTGGCCAATGGTTTAAAAATTTTGTTGATCTTTTCAGAGAACCAGCTTTTGGTCTTGTTAACTCTTTCAGTTATTTTTCTATTCTCTGTTTCATTTAATTCTGCTCTAATTCTTATTATTTCCTTTCTTCTGGCACCCAAGGGCTTCTTTTGCTGCTCTTCCTACTTGGTTCTACTTGTAGAGTTAATGTTTTGATTATGGCCCTTTCTTCTTTTTGGATGTGTGCATTTCTTGCTGTAAACTGACCTCTGAGCACTGCTTTTGCTGTGTCCCAAAGGTTCTGGTAGGATGT